TTTTTTAAGGGTTCAATGAGATCTGCCCTGTCATGTCAGATTTGCAGTGTTAGCACTGAGGCTCTCAACCGTTCCTGGTAAGAGAGTTGACTTAGTACTGGAATTATTTTTGTCACCTGGTGTTGTACTTTCTCCAAAGCAACTATGTCCTCCTGAAGCTGAGGTCTCCTTGCTTGGATACACTAATACCAGAGATTTGTACAGTTGAATCATTACCTTCTTTTCCTTAGTCAACGGTATGCTTGATTATTCCTAGGGTTTGGTTTCTTGTTGACTGCTGCTCCTACCTGTTGTGCAACGTTCTGTGAATTGTGGATGTAGATTCAGTGAATAGTGTGACTTTGATTGCTTGGCAATCAATTCTTCCCCCGGTTTTAATTCTGGATCCTGTATGATGCCTTGGAGTAGTCTTATTTCTGGAGGTTCCATCTTCCCACTTTGTGCCTTCAGTACCTCCTGTGGATCTCGAGCCTTTTTCCTACGATGGACCCACCTTTTCAAGTGTGTGTCTGCTTATTGGTTGTGGTGTGAGGTATTAGGTTCATCCTTGCTGGCTAACTGCTCTGTTTTCTTTGGGAGCTTGGCAGGGGTTCTGTTGAACCTGCATGTTTGATTGGTGGAGGCAAGTTCCATCTTTTAGGTATTCCTGGGTAGTGCCGCTCATGAACCGTTTACTTCAGCACTCCCCATGGTCTTTGACAAGTGGTTGCTCAATGTGCTACTGTACCACTTGTCCACACTCAGTGTGCTAACCAGCACTGTACTGGACCCTTATTACGGAGGACCACAGGGCTCACTCGCACTTGGCAGCCATCTTACATGTTTGGGTCCTCATTAAGGGGGCTCTGAGCAACTCCATTAGGATGTGGCATTGCTGAGTTTCACTCAGTGTGGAGGCCTTGCAGTCTGCAGTTCTGGCCTTGGTGGCCTTGCTCAAAATGTGCACTCCACTTCTTAGATGGTGGCAGCATTTTTTAATCCCTCCCCTCCCCCCCTCTTGTCGATCGTCTGTGTTGACTAGCTTGTTAGCTTTGGCTTGGTCTCTTACCCTTTTGTCTGCCTCTCCTCTTCTCATTTCAACTCTTCCCGGAGGATATCACTGCACAGGTTTTGTCCATGACAGCTAATTTTTTTTCTGCCCTGTCATTTATTTGTTTTCTCAGAGTTCTGGCCCCTGTAGGATGCAGTTGGGTAGACTGAGGGTCCTTATCTGCTGGTGGTTGGGGTAGGTTCTACGGGGAGGATGATTCTCTGCCCCATTGTGCTTCTTGATGTTCTTTCTCTTCAGCTCAACATCACAGGTACAGTATGTGTTTTGGAAGGATGGGTCCTCTTAGGGCTCATGCCAGTTCTTTTACAGTTTGCCCCTTTGACACCATGGTGTGGGGAAATGGGTCATCTTGCTTGTTTTGCCAGCTCCTTGTTCCACGATTGGTGGATAATTGCTGAAAAATCATACGAAAGTTTTCTTTTGCAGAGTCACAAACAGATGGAAAAATTTAAGGGAGAAGGTTGTGGATACCAAACATACCAACAGTTTCAAAGCATCATATGACAAAAGTTATATGAAAGATGGGATACTGCTAGTGTATGTCCCATCTTGTAGCTTCACTTAGATACTCACACATAATAAAGTTTTTACAAGGGAAAGTTCCCTGAGCAGAACAGATCTTGTCTTTGCCTACCCAGATAAAAACGTGATTAGAATGGCTTAGGTACTCACCTAGTTGTGTTTGCGGTGGCTGTGTTCTGAAGTCGGCGCTTTTAATTATTGATGGTCGAGGGTCCTGGCCTAGTAGACCTGGGAGATATCTGCTCCTTCAAACTGCCCCAAATGCAGAATGTCAACATTCCCCGAGTGCACAATGAAATCACAAGAACATGATATATCTACGAGAAAATACTGAAGTCGTATGATGCGATCGAACACTTGTGTGCATCCCCGAGGGGTTTAAGGGTGCAGGTTTGATCCTACCATATACTTTCAATATTTTCTTATTCCCTGACTGCACTATATATTAATCATGGGCCAATAAGATCTTGTCTTAAGGACCATCTGAGCAGGAGAGTTCAGAAGTGCAATCTTATCAATATATTTAAACTGCTTAAATAGAAGTTATTTAATCTTTATTAAATTGCAATCACACAAAAATATATATTTACAATAAATTTAACAACTTCTCATGAGAAGTTGATATAAATTAGTGAAAACTGTTAGAACTTTTCTCTCCAGTTTTCAGTATGAGGTATATACAGCCAAGGACTTGCAATACTGTAATTCATATTACATGAAAGGTGAATCCAGCAGTTCAATTATCAAGAGAGAAGGAACATTACTTTCAAAATTTTGCGTAACTATAAGAATACTGCAAAAAATATTTAAACCCATATTAAGGAATGTTTTCTTATGTCCTGGTATCTTTTAATTCAAGGACATGTTATCTCACATCTGCACTAAACATAATTATTTAGTTTGAATGAGATCACTAGAGTGCCTTGATTCACCTTAAATCTTGGACACAGACCTGCAGTTTTCAAACTCAATCCAGTACAGTACTGTCTATACTTCTGTATCACTAGTTCATTCCTTTATGGAGTAACGAAGTCAGTTCACACACTTGTACAGATCTTTTGAGCACATGAAGGTGTCAACAGTGTAGAGATTCATCTGGATTGATCCCGGCACTTTTCTCAAATTTTCTTTGAATTTTTCAGAAAACTCAAAAGGAGCTCAGATCACGAAGACCCTCATTCCTGGCAAACTGTGAAATTAAGCACACTGATGGAGGTTCTACAGCATGTCCAGGAAATAACAAATAGAATACCTTTAACACCACTGCTCATGCGGCCGGGGACTTGTCGCAACACTAAGTGCAGAGGTTCGTGATGCTGTGACAGGCGTGTGTGGGGTGTGCAGAGAGTAGTGGTTATGGTGAGAGGAGTGCTGGTGGTGGCTGTGGTTGTGATTGTGGTTATGATGATGGTTGTGTGAGGTGAAACGGGTAGTTATACCCATATGGCTGTTTATTTCTGCCCGAAACACATCAACCTCGGTGTCACCATTTTTATTACAATCTAAATGGAGTGCAGCATCAGGCGAATGAGATCCGTAAATGCCCTGATGAGATAATCTTTCATTTGTTGGTGCCGATGCTGCACCCTGAGGGCTGGGACGCCTACTGAGACCTTCCGTGGATACTGGACTTCCACTGATGATCATCCTGACACTTCCATCCCCCTGGGATCTAGACGAATAATGCTCATGTCCTTGCGAGTTATAACATGATCTATCATTATATCTGTCATAGATGTTTTCATGGCTATGGTGATCTGATCTTCCTTGACCTCGTTCGTATATTGTTTGAGATTGAAGGTCATTGTCCCGGCAGTGAATGTCTGTGTCAAGTGATGGCCATGTCTGAAGAGCACTGTAGCGGGAGCTAGAAGGGGTTGTAGTTGAAGACCGGGAGGTCGCTGATCCTTCCTCTACACTCTGGAGACTCGTGGTTCTCTGCAGGCTGAGACGCTCTGGTTTCTTTGGTGGTACTGGCTTTGTACGAGAGGCTGGCCGTGAATCCTGTAGGGTTAGATTTAATTTTCAATAGTGGATCTTGGAAATAAAAAAAATTGTCTAATTAATTGAATTATACATTACTGGATTAATAGAATTATATATTACATGTTTTTATTCAATTTTAAATGTAAAAATTGTACAAATTATTTTATCAAATTCAAGAAAACTACAGTAATGTCATAATGCATACATCTCTGTATTAGTATACAGTATACTGTTTATATATTGTAATATTTTATACTTATTTCAAATAATCGTACTATGCATGTACAACCGAGTCTTATCAGTTTGTGGTATCACCATTAACCTTTAAACTGCTCAATTAAATGGGAGTGTCTTTTTTTGTTCCCCCGTGAGCTTTCAGAGTTATTATAACTGCTGACATGTTCTTGCTGGTTGCAAGAATTCATAAGCAGAATCTATATTTTGCTCATGGCCATACTCGCATTGTAAATAAAAGTCACTACAAGCACACATCTGACCATCATACAGCACTTATACATATCATTAGCAGCCACAGGTATTCCTGTGCTGTATGATAAGGCAGATATATCATTAGCAGCCACAGGTATTCCTGTGCTGTATGATAAGGCAGATTTAGGTACACGCCTCTGGAATTGGTCTGAAAGATGTTAAGGGGGGGGGGGGTCCTGTGGGTCACAATCAAAAGATCCCAGGTTCAATTCCTGTGCAGGATAGGGACGTTTGGGTAAGTCTCCTTTAACTTGATACCTCTGTTCACTTAGCAGTGAATAGGTACCCTGGAGTTAAGTAACTATTGTGAACCAACAGCATTGACCACTGCACCATCAAAATTCATGTATGGGAAGTTGGGTCAATGATTGTATGAACAGTAGTAAATAACATATGAAGGAAGAGCAGGGGCAAGGATGACATGGTCTAGAAGGAGAAAACCAATAACTGTAGTGGGGAAAACAATGATTGTAGGATTAGATGGTTAAACAACGATTTTATGATGAGCGGACAATTACTGTAGAATGAATATGGCAAATAATGATTGTACATGGAACAAATAAAATGACTGCAGAATGGACAACTAGTGATTGAAGGAGCAGTTGAAAACAGTACTTTTAGAAGGTGTAATGAACGAAGACTGTAGGAGCAGCTGGGACAAATATGATGACTGCAGAGAAGATGAACTGGGATTGTAGGAGCTGGGGCAATCATCAAGAGCAGAGACAAACTGTGATAATAGGAGCAGCATCAGTGATTGTAGCAGGAGCTGAGGCAAATAAGGATTGAGGAGAAAGGATAAGCAATGTACAGCAGGGAGGTGCACAATGATCATATGAGAAGCTGTACATATGTAAAACATATGTACAGCTATTTTCTGCTGGGAAATCAAAGGCAAACAATGATTGTAGCATCACTGACTTTAGGCGTTAGTGGAGCAATGACTAAGAGAAGCTCAGCTAAATAATAATTATATAACCAGCTGGGTAAACAATATAAGAGTATGTTGGGCAAATGAATGTATAAAAAGTAATGGTAAATAATGACTATAGGGGGCATGCAAACAATGTGTGCAACAGGGGAATGTAAACAATGACTACGTGAAGTACGGTCATTCAAACAATTGCTGAAGAAGCAGGAGATATGATTGATGGAAGGCTGATGCAGTTATAATATAATAATTTTTTTAGGTATACACGTAATACATATATAAAATACAAGCAGATTGTAGGATTCAAAGGTAAGGCAAGTATGATGCCTAAAGCCACTAATGCACCGAGTGTTTCAGGCATAATGTAGGTATGGCAGGGGAATCAGAGGAGAACAAAGGGTTGAGGAGATGGGCAAACATTGTAGGAGGAGCAGCAGCAGTATTGTCTTCAGAAGCAGGGGCAAATTGTAATCATGAGGGAAGGATAAAATATGATTGTAAGAAGTCTAAACAATGATTGTTAGAGAAATGGGTCTAAACAATGATTGTTGGAGGAACAGGTGTAAACAATAATTGCTCAAATATGTTCTGGGATACTGTAATTCTGAACCTTTCTTGAATTCATGAGTTTTGGTAGCAAAGAGGCCAAGCACGTCCACAGGAATAATTGGGGACATATGTTAGGCTTCTGGCTTCCTGTCCCCATCAAGGCCACTGGAGATGGTGGCCTCAAGGCAAATTCAGGTAAATTAATTATATAATTCTCTGTATAAAATCCTGTGCTCACCTCAAGAACTAGTGCTAATGGCCATTATTCCTGTATTTTATTATCCTAATTTATCATCCCAAAGATTTCATTACCATTACATAAATGTCAATAAAATATTCCTCATTTAATTTACCTTTTCATTAAAATTAATAATTAGCTTTTTGCTCTATTCTGTCAGTATATGACATACTGTATATCTACATAATAAACTTATAAATATTGTCACTGTGTCATTATCAAATAAATCACTCTTTCTATTGCTAAGTGTTCCCACATGATCTTGTATCCATATTTAAACATTTTGATATCAATATCATGGATATACAGCACACACACACACACACACACACACACACACACACACACACACACACACACACACACACACACACACACACAGTGTGTGTGTGTGTGTGTGTGTCCTCACTTCTTAAGTGAGAAGGTGGTGGAGGCCAAGACCGTCAGTAGTTTCAAAGCGTTATATGACAAAGAGTGCTGGGAAGACGGGACACCACGAGCGTAGCTCTCATCCTGTAACTACACTTAGGTAATTACACTTAGGTAATTACACACCATATATCCAATTTTGCAAAAGATTTCCAGTTTGTTGACTTATTTGTTCATGTTTTACTCATAGATGAATACTGTACTCCGAAATGCTACTGAAGGTGAACTTTCATAAACCAGTACAGAGTTATACAATATAACAGCACCTCATTTTTCGAGTCCGGTCGTGGAGAGAGAACTCGTCTACGGTAGTCGGCTGCTGAGGTGGGCCTGGTTGAATTAACATGGCTTGTGGCATGTCTGTCAGGGGAATCAGACTGAGAGGAACTTGGGGAAGAGATCGAAGAGTCTGGTGACCTCAGCCTTGGTAGAGTGGGATACTGCTGAGCCCTCTCCACCTCCCCACTGCCAACCTCAGGGCTTGCTACAGCCAACCTCTGGTCACCCTTTTGGAACACCTGAACCACCAGAGAGCACTAAAATATAAGTATGTTGTAGCATTAAATTATGCAAGACTTCTCTCTAATGCAACAACAAAACTGTTAAGAATATAATTACCCTTAATTATTTTTGGGTAAATATTTTCCCCTCATGCGGCAAAATAAATTACTATTTATTATGCACGAGGGAGAGTAGGATGTAAATTGCCAAAAAGTAAAAGGGAAATTTAGTCGCAGGCGAGTGAATTTTTTTTTATAAAAGCTTGAGGGTGAATGACACTTTAAATAGTTTAAGAAGGACTGGCCTAGAATATGCACCTGAATAACTGTTGCTCCTGGCTGTGAAGTGGTGACAATGGTCTCCCCATTAGTGTGGTTAAGGGCAGCCTCTCGAGTGCGACTGAGGGTCATTTTCAGCTCCGATACCTGTTCCTCCAGATAGCCAATGCGATGGTTGAGGCGTGTGTTATCACTCCTGGTGGGGAAGCTTTATGTTTACTAACAGCAACAAATTAAGGAAAGATAATATAGTACTTAGAATTATATGAAATCTGCTAATCTAAATAATGTCTGGTCAGCAAGCTACTACATTCATCAGTTGCATTAATTGTCAAAAACAAGTTTGAGCATTAAAATACATCAACATAAATGTACTGCTTTATGTACTGCTCATTACAGTACATAAAGATGTACTGTGATAAGCAGTTCAAGGCTGAACACACCATGACCAGTGGCATGTGAGACATGCACAGATGCAAATTAGAAATGCGGCTGTCATTGTGAGGATGTTTCTAATGTGGTCTTTGTTGACTGGGCCATTCATTAACATAGCTGTGACTGTTCATTACTAGGACGACTCAATACCAGGTAATTATCATCTCCTCGGGCTTTTCGAGAAACACTTTATTGCAGGCTATTTTAATGCAAACACCATGGTCCAAGGTTATAACAACATCCCTACAAAATATATAAATTCTTCAGATCTGCTGGGGGGCCTAGTATATGCTTAACTATATCTCCTGTTACTATATAATGTGTGTGTATAATTATCCCTTGTCTAGTACATACAAATCACTGAATCGTGATAAAGTGCTTAAGATTCCATTAATTTATTGATACTCCTCACTATTTTGCACATAATGTGACTAATTCATGTGAGCTCATTCTTTTCTCCTATTTTTAATATCTGTATAGGTGTAAAGTATTAAAAATATGATTTTTTTAATCATCAATTATAACTTTGATGGTCTCATCTTTCAAGGACCTTACTGTGACTTTTTGTTTTTTTACTCTTTATACAAGCATTAAAAGATTTAGGATATTTCTTGATGTTTTGATCAAATTATCATTCAAAGCTTTAGGTTGATTTGATTTCCTGGGTAACTGTACTTATAATGCCCTTCTAATTCCTGTTGTTTGGGACAGGAAGCATACATGCATGCATGTATCGTATGTATGTATGTATGTGTATGTATGTATGTATGTAATCACATGTATGTATGTGTGTGTGTATTTATGTGTGTATATATGTATGAATATAAAATATATACAGTAATATATATATATTATAATACACACATGCACACACACTTCAGGCTTATGTCAAGGTCCCCTCAAGGTCAAACTACTGACCCTCTACAAGTCAGTAGTACTCCACAACACGTGCCGAACTCCCAGGTACCCATTAACTGCTAGGTGCACAGAGCCATTAGGCGAAAAGAATCTTTTTAGTTTAGTTGTTAGAGCTCCTTTTGCTCTCTGTCATTCATAACTTTTTTTACTTTTTTCTTCCCTCCCTTGAATAAATATAAACAAAAAGATCAATTTTAAACATCATTACAACTTTTACTACTCACTTTAGAGTTTCCTTGTCCTTGAGAGCTTTGTCAAGTCTTGCAACTAGGTCTTTAATTTCTCTGGCTTTCTCCTCCATCTGCTTTTCTATTCGGCCTTCTGATCTGCGACCAGCAGTACCTACTGAAGCAGGATACTGTATTAGTTGCATTTTGCACTTAACAGAAGTGAAATACAGTACACTACATACTGTATATATACAATATGTAGTGTACTGGTCTTGTACAGTACTGTACTGGTATGTAGTGTAGATCTTCATGCAAAATCTATACCTTTTATCTTTTTTTGAGGTGTTTTAGATGTGCTAATTAATAGAGCAAAAGCCTGTCTTCAATCGAAAGTATAAACCAAATTATGTTACAGACAATAAAGACAATATGCACATTGTAGCCTGGTGGACCAAACTCTCACAAGTCGAGCCTGGCCTCGGGCCGGGCTTGGGGAGTAGAAGAACTCCCAGAACCCCATCAACCAGGTATCAACCAGGTAACCAGGTATGTGACAAATAGTTACCGGTGCTGGGTCTGGCAATAACGAGGTTGAGATGAGTCGATGACCCCATGAGCCTGGTGACCTGGTCCAAACCACAGCCTACTACAGTCTCCCCATTTATCTCCAGCAGCCTGCAGGAAGGAAAATGAGATATTGGTTGTCTTCATGGTGGGGAGGAAATTGTAACTCATTTATCAAATTTTTGAGATCAAAATTATATGGATTAAAGGTTAAATTAATGATCTATGTACAGTATTTGTATGTTATAGTATTTTAAGCTAATTTGACACAGGCTGTTATTCATTTGTAATAGACTACTCTTCATTATTTGCATAAAATATTATTAGTCATGTTTTGATATTGACAAATTCTATCAGTAATTTACAAAACTTTGACAAGTTCATTTAAATGGAAGTTTTCATACCTCATTAAAGACTTTTTTTGCTGCAATATATATAGTTTAAAACAAAAGTCTGAAGGACATTATCTAATGATTTGACTCATTATAAGCTGAACTTAGTAATAAGTGACGATAATGAAGTTCTGTTTAACGAGAGCTTTTATAAGCAATAAAAGTGTTAACTTCATTAAAGTCACTTTATTCACCGAAAATTTAAGCTACTTGTGCATTCCCCCATTCTACAACAAGAATACTGTGCATGTTGATTAACCAAGAAGTAGCTTTAAAACATGATATTTACTTCATTCTAATATTGTTCAGTAGTGTTTTAATGCATAATCACAAACTGATATCAACATGAGTGAGGCAAAATTTGTACATGAACTTGCCTAAAATGATTTTACCTGTCACCCTTTTTTAGTCTGGTGTCATCGGTGGCCCAGTCTATGACACACCCAAGGGGCGGTCGAGGTGTCACATGGAAGGGAGGGTTCCCTGGTGTGTGAGGTACACCGATACTCATCAGTGTCACTTCCCTGAGAGCTGCGCCTCCTCCAATAGAGGTGAAAAGGGCATGTAATAAAGGCTGGGGCCCTGAAGAACCATTACAAGCAGAAGATGAAGGCGTCTCCTGAAGGCGTGCATTTAAGACTGTGGATTCCTCCTTCAAGTTTAGGATGTTAAGCTCTTCCCTCTCCAGTTCATATTCTAGCTCTGCTGCTCGGATCCTAACATCGATATTGCTGGAAAGTGAAATGTTAGTGAAAGGCATTTTAAGGTGACTCTAATAATTCTTGAAGAGAAATCTGATTAGCAACACAATATGAAAACCTGAAAAGCTAGATAGCATGAAAACTAATTGTTTAAAAAACAAAAATCAGGCCTCGAGTGCTGTATAATGATCATCACACCAGAATTCTCTTTATTCCCAGTTTAAATAAATCTATATGAATACGTCATGCAAATAAAGGGGACCCAATATATATATGGAACCCTATAATGAAGATTACGCCATTATACCTGGGGTGCACAAACATGAGTGGTTGTGCACCCCACACCCATTCCATTTTTTTTATTTTTTTTTTTTCATTTTTTTTTTTGCCCGAAACGCATTGCGTAATAGTGGCTTTAGGCATTGTATATACTAGCTCTATCTATATATCAATCCATTAATGTAACATCACTTGTATGTATGTACCTTACCTGAATAAACATATTTATTTTATTATTTATTTATTATGGGAGCACTACATGGGATACCTGGCTATGCCTCCTCCCCCTCTCTTTCCTCCACCTTCTCACCCTCTCGGACCAAACAAACAGACAACATAACCACATCCTTATTTTACCATTATTACTTTGATGGAAAATTGTAACAATAAAGTTAACAAATGTTGTGTGTAAGTTAGAATATTATGTTTTATTTTTGTTTAATTTATGAACAGCTGAAAACCTTGAAAAACTCTTTGGAAATCTAAACCACAATTTCAGACTTCATATGAGTTGCTCAGATTCGAAACAGAAGCAACTGTAGGGTGGTACATGGGATATGTATGTACCACCCTATGACACTCCTCACGCCAATCACAAGTCACCATGCAAGGTTTCATCAACCCCTGTGATCATCAACACTTGGGACCCTGAGACCATGAACCTTTGGGATCATATCAACACTTGGGACCCTCAAACCCTGGGACCATCAACCCTAGGACCCATTTATTTATTTATTTATTTATTTATATACAAGAAGGTACATTGGGTTTGTGAGGATACATAGCATGGTATTTACAATCTTGTAAAGCCACTAGTACGCGCAGCGTTTCGGGCAGGTCAACCCATCAATCCACAAGATCACAAACAATGCCACACCATCACCAACCACGAGGCTCACTTTACTACTTACTCAGTGATGTCAATCTTCTCTAAGGTTAGTTTTAGGTTTTTGATGGCAACTTTCTTGGCGTCCATTTCCCCCTGGACTTTGTTGAGGCGCTCCTGGATACTCCGCCGCTCCGTCTCAGAGATCACACCGCCTCCTTCGCCACTTCCGCCTACTGTCCCACCCAAATTGGTAATCTGGGTCTTCAGCCTGCATATATATATTTAACCTTAAGTACACGTGTTACATTCAGGAGAAATCTATTGATATTGAGTTAGCTTATACACCTGCCTTGTGTGTGTTTTAGTTTGTTTAAGTCTGACAGACACGACTTTCACCTTCTAGATTGCATCTCGTGGTTGTGAATCGAGAATGCAGACCAATATGCTGCATGACCCATAAATGTGAGACACACACAGCATAGTGCAGATCAAATCTTGGCTATGTATGGTCTTAAACCCTGCACTGCTCACACATTTTCGGCAAAAAAGTCTTGGTGCAATTGTCAAGGACATATTTTTGTTGTTTTCATAAATGCTCAGGTAAAGTTAATGTCAAAATGTTTCCAAAGTCAACTATTTCCCTTTCAGAACACAAAGAGTAATGAAAACATTAAAAAAACATAAAAATATAGTCTAATTAAAAAACAAAACTCACAACTCTTAGAGCGCCTAAAGGCGCTTTGCGCAGTGCAGTGGTTAATGTATAATGCTTATATATATTTCCTATGTATACTGTTACTCGCGTATAAGTGCGATCCGCATAAAGGATTTAAAAGCTATATAGCAGGTGATGTAACTCACGACTGGATGACAGTGTCCTTGTCTCTGAGAGCTTGATGAAGGGCGTCCAGCTCGCGCACCAGGTCCCGGGCTGCCCTGGGCAGGGTTTCGAGTAGGGCCTCGCGACGTCGCTTCCAACCCAAGGACACCTCGATGCTCGCCATCTGCAGGGGGTGATTGATTGATGAGGATTAAGCCACCCAAAAGGTGGCACGGGCATGATTAGCCCGTAAGTGGGGGCCCTTTGGAGCCATTACCAGTATCATTAGCTGATACTGGAGATCTGTGGAGGTGCGACTGCACCCTGCGTGACGGGAGATGTCTCCCCCGTCCTGCAGGGGGGAATGAAGGGGTGAGTGATAGGCAAGCATTGTGGGTGAGTCTGTGAGTGTGGTGGGGGAGGCTGTGAGTGTGGTGGGTGAGGCTGTGAGTGTGGTGGGGGAGGCTGTGAGTGTGGTGGGTGAGGCTGTGAGTGTGGTGGGGGAGGCTGTGAGTGTGGTGGGTGAGGCTGTGAGTGTGGTGGGTGAGGCTGTGAGTGTGGTGGGGGAGGCTGTGAGTGTGGTGGGGGAGGCTGTGAGTGTGGTGGGGGAGGCTGTGAGTGTGGTGAGTGAGGCTGTGAGTGTGGTGGGGGAGGCTGTGAGTGTGGTGGGGGAGGCTGTGAGTGTGGTGAGTGAGGCTGTGAGTGTGGTGGGGGAGGCTGTGAGTGTGGTGGGGGAGGCTGTGAGTGTGGTGGGGGAGGCTGTGAGTGTGGTGGGGGAGGCTGTGAGTGTGGTGAGTGAGGCTGTGAGTGTGGTGGGGGAGGCTGTGAGTGTGGTGGGGGAGGCTGTGAGTGTGGTGGGGGAGGCTGTGAGTGTGGTGGGGAGGCTGTGAGTGTGGTGGGTGAGGCTGTGAGTGTGGTGGGTGAGGCTGTGAGTGTGGTGGGGGAGGCTGTGAGTGTGGTGGGGGAGGCTGTGAGTGTGGTGGGGGAGGCTGTGAGTGTGGTGGGTGAGGCTGTGAGTGTGGTGGGGGAGGCTGTGAGTGTGGTGGGTGAGGCTGTGAGTGTGGTGGGTGAGGCTGTGAGTGTGGTGAGTGAGGCTGTGAGTGTGGTGAGTGAGGCTGTGAGTGTGGTGGGTGAAACTGAGGTAAAGATGACTGGGCAATATTTGGAGAAGGGGTGATTTATGTGCTAAGAAAATCACCCTTCTGAAGATGTTTTATTAAATACGAAAGTACTTAAGGAAATTCCTGTTTCAATTCTTCCTCTGTGGTCTGACACTGTCATACATATATATATATATATATATATATATATATATATATATATATATATATATATATATATATATATATATATATATATATATATATATATATATATATACTTTTTTTAAGGTTAGGTACCTTGAGCAAATACCTGACTTTCTCAAGGTCCTGAATACAGTGTTCAGAACATTGTATATTACTTTGAGAAGAGGTGTATGTTACACCTGAAATTTTAGTTTTAATACACTTACACATGTATTGGGTCTGTCCTTCACTTTCATACAAGCACTACTGCATTGCAATAAGTTTCCCAATAACAATAATAATAAAAACACCTCACATATGCCCTTCAAACAAGTAAAGGAAATATACAAATAGTGCAGGCGATGAGTCGCAATAACGTGGCTAAATTATGTTGACCAGACCACACACTAGAAGGTGAAGGGACGACGACAAATAGGGTTTTGTTGTAAAAGATTAAAAACATTTGTTCCCATGCCTCCAGAGCGGCGTTGCAGACACCTTCACACAAACACCCACACAACCTGCCAATTTCATGGAGAATGGGACGTTTTTATACGTCTGCTATCCAGTCTAAAAAAGGAAGGAAAAAAACCACACGACCACTGCTATCTAATTCCGTACATTTCAAGGCCACTCCCTTCAACCAGCACGATATACCTTGGGTCGAAAATAGGGACTAGTGTAACACCTATTATTGAATGATCAGAATACATATCTTGGACAGTATACCCCCTACAGGAGGCTTATTTAGATGGTACTTTGGTGAAGCTGTAACTTAAGAGTCCCTGCACAAGATTTGGTCAAAGGATATCGCTGTCAAGCGCAATTGCTTATGCAGAACAGTCATTGTTACGCACTGTGTTATGCATGCAAGCTTCGCCTGACAGCTAAAGCACACGGCTCCTTACTACAGAGGTCCACCTGCCACAGCACGAGGGGGCCTCATTGCATAGCTCCACCTGCCATAGAACGAAGGTACACCACAGGTACACCCGCCACAGCACGAAGGTCCTCACTACTCAGGTCCACCTGCCACAGCACGAGGGGGCCTCATTGCATAGCTCCACCTGCCATAGAACGAAGGTCCTCACCACAGGTATACCCGCCACAGAATACTGGTCCTCACCACACAGGTCCGCTTGCCACAGCACAAGGACCCTCACTACTCAGATCCACCTGCCACAGCACGAGGACCCTCACCCCATCGATCCACCTGCCACAGCACGAGGACCCTCACCCCATCGATCCACCTGCCACAGCACGAGGATCCTCACTCCATCGGCCCACCTGCCACAGCACGAGGACCCTCACCCCATCGGTCCACCTGCCACAGCACGAAGGTCCTCACTACACAGCGGCCAGCACCACACCAACTCTGCCACGCACTGACGCGAAATTGAACACGCAACTCCTGCAAGCGAGGGAGAGGGGCGGGAGTAATACAGGGAATGGGAGACAGAAGAGACGACCGTAAGACAGACAGAAGTGAGAAGGAAATAGTATGGGAAGTGACGGGAGGCGGAGATAAATGAAAGAGATAAAGTTATGAAACAAATTTTAATTTAATAATTATTGAAAGAGGACAGAGAGAATGAGAGAGCGCTCCGGTAGAATGTGAGAAAATGTATGTGACCCAGTAGATGGTTTTCAAAAACCACAAAGGTATTTGTGTATGTTTCCCACTGTACGACACTACTAGCAAGTCTTGCATACTCAGTGGAACACTGCAGCTGCCACTGCTCGGAGCAGTGCCCCCCCCCCTGGTGTGCTATAGGATGCATCCACAAAAGGCTTATGCCAACAAGCTCAATCCTTCAATTGCATGACATCTGGGGATAATGCCAGGGGTGAATCACCTTTGTTATCTGCATTGGCTTGTTAGCAACGCTGTTACCTAGCAGTAAATAGGTACCTGGGAGTTAGACAGCTGCTACGGGCTGCTTCCTGGGGGTGTGTAACAAAAAGGAGGCCTGGTAGAGGACCGGGCCGCGGGAACGCTAAGCCCCAAAATCATTTCAAGATAACGCTAAAGAAGACACAAGTTTCAGTTTCAACCGTTTCAAGTTTAATTTCGAACAAAAGCCACTTTTACTGCCCAAACTGTACAATCCGGTAGAATCACAGAACTTGTTCTTGGTGAGATATAAATACAAAAATGATATATGAACAAAAATTATACTTCCCTGCACCCCTCACCCATCAGAGTTCAAAAAGAGATGGCAAAGGGCACATCTGATAGGTATAATAAAAGTTTTTATCAGTTACCCCTTCGAGTGTGTGATGGTATCCAAGGGACCAACCAGGATACTGAACCTTCGAAGCCCTCCTGAGGCATTAGAATGGCTAGCCGATAAATTCAACTCAGATGTTTCAGATCAGATTCAGATTCAGATGTTTATTCAGGTAAGGTATATACATACAAGTGATGTTACATTAATGGATTGATATATAGATAGAGCTAGTACATACAATGCCTAAAGCCACTATTACGCAATGCGTTTCGGGCAAGAAAAACATTAATATCTAGAACTTAATACTAATTGAGCATAAAGAATAAAAAGTGTTGAGAACAAATACAAATAAAGATAAAAAAAAGGGGGAACATGACTGAAAAAGCAGCACAAATACAATAGGTTGACAAACAGTGTTGATAAAAAAAAAAGAAAATAACGGACATGGGTTGACAATAGAGGAGTGAGGTAGATTACAGGGAATTTATTAGGTAGTGTTTAGTTTTTATCTTAAACTGGTTGAGAGAGGTACAGTCTTTAACATGGTTGGGAAGGTCATTCCACATTCTGGGTCCCTTGATTTGCAGAGCATTTCTGGTTTGATTAAGTCGTACTCTAGGAATATCAAAACTGTATTTATTTCTGGTGTGGTGCTCATGGGTTCTGTTACAACCTTCTATGAAGCTTTTGAGATCAGGATTGGCATTACAATTTAGCGTTTTGTATATGTATAGTACACATGAGAGAATGTGCAGTGACTTAATGTCTAACATATTCAGGGATTTGAATAGGGGTACCGAGTGATGTCTGGGGCCAGAATTGGATATTGTCCTAATAGCAGCTTTGTGTTGAGTAATTAGAGGACGTAAATGATTTTGGGTAGTAGAGCCCCAAGCACAAATACCATAGTTGAGATATGGATAGATAAGGGAGTAATAGAGAGTCACCAGGGCAGGGCGTGGTACATAATATCTGATCTTAGAAAGAATGCCCACAGTTTTTGAAACTTTTTTAGATATGTTTAGAATGTGTCCCTGGAAATTCAGCTTGTGGTCAATGAGAATGCCAAGGAATTTGCCATCTAATTTGTTACAAATTTGGGTATTGTTTATTTTGAGATTTATTTGATTAGAGGATTTATTGCCAAACAGAATATAGAAAGTTTTGTCAATGTTAAGGGTGAGTTTGTTGGCAGTTAGCCACAGATGGACTTTATTTAGCTCAGTATTTACTGTGGCATTTAGAGCAAGGGGATCAGGACTGGAGTAAATGAAGGTTGTGTCGTCAGCAAATAGGATTGGTTTGAGGTGTTGGGAGGCATTTGGAAGGTCATTAATGTAGATGAGAAAGAGGAGAGGGCCAAGTATGCTGCCCTGGGGAACACCAATGTTGATGGGTAGGGTGGGAGAAATTGTATTATTCACAGAAACACATTGGAGCCTGTCAGTAAGGTAGGATTTGAGGTATTGTAGGGAGTGTCCTCTGACACCATAATGATGTAATTTAAGAAGAAGGTTTTGGTGGTTGACAGTATCGAAAGCTTTACGCAGGTCCACAAATAACCCAACAGGGAACTCATTTTTATCAAGAGCTGTATGAATCGAGTTAAGCATACTAATAAGTGCATCGTTAGTGCTTTTTTTGGGCCTGAAGCCATATTGGCAAGG